TTCCTTACATTTTTTCCTTATATTTTTTTGTGAGAAAAAAATTAATTTTCTAAAAAAAACTCATTTTTTTCAAATATTCTTTTTGCCACTTCTAGTGCTCCAAATTCAACTTTCTTTGTGTAGAATTGTTCAAGTCGCTTAAATTTTAATAAAAAAAATATTTAAAAAAGTGATTTTTTTTTTCATTTTTTGAGGTTCCAAGCCTCTTTAAAGTTAATTTCATTAAATTGCTTAAACTGTAAAAGACCAGACTAAAAACTAGTTGTTTTTTCTTTGTTATAGTATTTTAACCTCGAAAATCGAATCTTTCAGTCATGACGGACAGCATGTCACTTTTTTTATATTTCATCTATCATTCTATGTATATAATCCATATACGGTAAATTGTGCCAAAGTTATAAAATGTACCTACCTAAATATACAATATATCGATGTCTTTTACCAAACAAGTAACAAGACTATATGAATAATTTAATATTTGTATGTTTGAATTCAAATTATTTGTATACAGTAAACTCCAATTTAAAGCGAGTTTGATAACACGAATTCCTACCACGCTCTAAAGAAATTTTGACGATTGTTATTATATGATAAACGGTTTTCTAAAGAGGATTTCAAGATTTTGTTTCTTGATAACAGCAGAACTTTAAAATTTGAATTGTAGCTATTGCTTTTGTCATTTCAAATTACCGCATTTCAAACGACGTATGATTAAGTATCGTTTTGATACGTTAGAGTTATTCCACAGGAAATCGGACACTAAATGCGGCGACTTTTGAAAACGACTTTCAAAAATAGTGTCATATTTTCCGTACAATACTAAAGAGCAGATGTTTATGCTTGGCTATGCTACGATCAATAGGCTACTGGCATAAGGTTTTACATAAGAATACAGCGTAATTTGAGTACAGGAAGTATTGTTTAATAATATGGTCTAATAAATGTGATTGAAAAAATTCTCAATAATTATACATTTCCTACGTTATTAATTAATAGTTCCTGTACAATGTCCCAATTTTAAAATCACAGTATTTCTGAAGATAGGACTACACTCTAATGTTTTTTTTTAGGTTTTTAAAACCGTGTCCATTATTAAAAACGTAGCTATCAAACAGAGGTTAATTTTTATTCAACCAATTTTAAAAGGACAATATATTTGAAAGTTGTTCTTAAAAGAGACAAATGGGACTATATTCTCAATTTTTTCTGAATTTGCAGAACTCTACCCGCTATAGAAATGATGCATTTATTTAAAAATATTGTAGAAGAAATAATAAAAACAGTGATTATTTAACCGAAATAATTTTGTATCGGTACTTCATTATATTCTGTATAAGTTCCTAAAGGGACACTCTCGACGAAGTATTAGTTTAAGAGTTGTAATTAAAAAAGAAAAATATAGCATTCATTCCTGAAATATTCATAATTTTTGAAATTTTGATAATTTCTTCGAGATACGTTCAAATATCCCTAGATCATGCACATACTCAAATTTCCACAAGATCTGAAATGCTGCTCCATTTAGTATCGGATTCTCGTAGAATGACCCGTTATTGAATTTTCCTTCAAATTTTCCAAACTTTTATCCGATCGCTTTCAAATTTGACTCAAATTTTTTGATCTTAAAGTATACTTTTAGAGGGTGGGATGGAAAAAATTCAAAAATTCCTAAATAAAAGCCACCCTAATATTACTATTAAATGGTAACTGCTAAATTAGCTAACTTAGCTAAACTCAAATTAACGTTAACTGTCAGTTATTACAGTTTATTTAATGTGGAGGGATAATATTATTGAAAAATTCTTACATGAGTTTTTCATGAATACATACAGTTTAAGATGCACAATACTTGTTACTGCTTCGAAAAGAGAGGTATTTACAAAAATCCATTATGAAGAAACTATACAATGAATTGTTTTCAAATTTCTAGTATGTTTTATTGAGCGCATAAGCAAATACAAACCGAGATAACTAAAAGTGGTATATAATAATAAAATAGAAAGTTATCGATACCTCAAAATATTAGAAAATGGCAAGTCTTTAAAAAAATATTTCAATTACGCGAAAAAATATTACTTTTTTATAAAAAAAAAAAAAAAAAGTCAATTTAAAAGAAGGAAAAAACGACTATATCAAGCCACAGTGACTAGTTTTCTTTAACAGAATGTAGCTTGGATCAAATCGGACACATAAGTTTTTCTAGAAAGCTATCAACCAGGTTACAACCTGTCGTTTAGAGACAAATGCATTTAAAATTTAAAATTTCAGTAGCCTTCGTTAAAACGTTAAATAGCCTCCACATTGAAGGCTGTAACTCTAGCTATTGTAAACATTTCTTTCTCAAATTTTGACACAACATTATTTAAATGTGTATTTTTTAAAAACTGAAAACAAAATTTATTTTATTTTTATTTGTATAATGTTGTGCTCTCTTATGTTATTAAACTACTTTATTTTCCCTCCCTGTGTTTTTAATAACGATATGGTATCTAAGTTCAATTGCAAAACTGGCTTAAGGAAAACATTCTTTGTGGTGTAAATTTACGATCACGAATCATCTTATGGTTTTCCAAAAGGAGCTTTAAGATTTTTTTGCTTTTTCTGTAAACCGCAAATGGTATGAAACATGTATAAAAGTTGTTGTTTTAGTTGTTGTTGCTCTGTTTTAAATGAACGTGCACATGATTATAACTAATCCTTTGCTGTTGTGTTTAGTTTAGTGTTTAGTTTAGTGTTTAGCAATATACGTGTATTGCTACTCAAAATCAATCTTAATTAAATGAAAATTAATAATGTAATGCAACATTATAAGTACTGAACATTTAATGATTTTCTTTCAATTTTACATATACGTAACATAATAATATGGTTTCATTTTATTATATATAGAAATTATATTTTTATATATACCGTTCCATTGTGTGGTATCTTCCACAATATTCTTCAACTTAAAAGTTTGATTTTTGAGGACACATATCACTGATCCTGTTAGTTTGTCGACTTTCTCTTTTAATTTTCCGGTTGGAACATACCGAATAGTCCTTGCTCTATACCTTTTACATACAAGAACGTAATATGTGTAAGTTGCTGTTGTTGTGTATTTTTAATCGACTTCGAAAAGGAGAAGATTACTCAATTCGACATGTATATTTAATGTTAATAAAATAATAAATTAATTGTAATTATAATTATAATAAGCATAAAATAATATTTGGAAAAAAAATATAATCGACTTCGAAAAATATTAAAACTCCACTAAAAAGTATGAAATAATTTCTATTTCCTTTATACTAAACTATATTAAATAATATATTAAATTTCTATTTCTATTTAAATAACCTTTTTGGAGGAAAAATTTAAAATTTTTAATTTCTGCTTGAATTAGTTTTTGGCAGGCGCGGCAATATTGAATGCTGTTAATGTATACCTGAAAATACTGTCTGAGAGGGTATGATGTATTTGATTAAAATAAAAATCCGTCGTTTCCATTACTTTAAACGCTATTAGGATATTGAGCGGACGCTAATTCGCCGAATGACGGGGCAAAACGCGAAATTAATGGAATTAGAAAGTGGGAGTTAATATTCCTAGATTTTTCATTTCGTGAAAGTAACGGGAAAAACAACTCGTTGCGGGTGATCAATTCGGTTGGAAAAATCGTGCAGAAAGATTCGTGAATCAGGGACATTTGGTACGTATCTAACAGCCATGCAATCATAATTCTCATAATATACAAATTTCAAAGATATGCATCGTGTTCTCTCGAAATAGCATTGACACATTGTACATCAGGCTTGCTCGATAACAGGATTTTTTTAAATCAATATTTGGGTGCTATTCTCGGACGCACGCTTTATAAATCTCATTATCGCTTTGTTGGCCGTGCAGTGCGGAGGTGTACCAGCTCGAGAAATCATCAGTAAATGTTACAAGTTGACCTTACACCGTAAAAAAAGAAGATGCAAAACGTGTCACGTCATTAACTCCTGATTATTTTTAATAAAATTATGTATTAAAATTATTACGTGAATATTCGAGTAATATCGGACCATTTATCTGTGACTCAAGTACTTGACGATTTTAACATTACAAATATAATGTATCGAATATTTAAGGTGAGTTTAAATGGCTGTCATAATACTTACAGGAGATTTTCAAATGGTAAAATTGATAAAAAAATTCTAAATTTGGGAATAAGACAGTCATAAGCTTGGTTTCAAGAATCTTTCATTCTTATGGTACACGTGATTACTTTGATTGGAATTAGTTTCTAATTCTCTTTCATGCGCTGTCTATCTCCTTTTAACTCTTGAAATGTTTGTTCTGAGAGAAGACCAAACGAGATTGTAAATACGATTTCTTCGAATTATTCTATCAATTTGTATATCTACTTTATAATTCTCAACCGCGATTAGCCTAAACTAAATATTCCTCTAAAGGAAAATATACAGGGTGTCCCGAAAATGTTGTAATTCCTTAAAAAGGGTGGTTTGGGAGATGATTTGAAACAACTTTTTCCTTAGCGAAAATGTTGTCCGAGGCGTCGTTAACGTGATATTAACGGTAAACCCCGACCAATCACAGCGCGAGTATCTGGAGTGCCCGCGTAGGCCACGTGACGTCGGGCCCACCTCCCGCGGCTGAACGTGCGCAGTGATTGGTCGGTGGTTTTTCCTTAATAATTCAAAAACAAAGCCTCGCGCAACATTTTCGCTGAGGAAAAAGTTGTTTCAAATTACCTCCCGAACCACCCCTTTCAAGTTATTACAACATTTTTGGGACACCCTGTATACACGTAGTCGAGTAAGTGGGTACTTTAGTTTTGCGATGTTTGGTACTCCTGTAAATTTTATGTTAACCCATTAGAACCACCTTGTATGGAGTTTGGTCAGAAGTTATAAATTATAAATTAACAAGTTATACAAGGTGTTTAAGAAAGGACATCATAAATGTTCTGTTAGTAAAGGAACAAGTCTGATATAAAATCATGGTGCATGTAGATGTATGGTCGCTACACGAAGGACCTGGGTGAGTATGCAAAAGAAGAGGCACGGAAGCTGAAACACCACGAAAAAGCACGACAGAAGTATGACAAGACAACGGCAGAGGGTCTACGAAAGTCGAGGAGAGGACCTTTGTGCAGGAAATTGCTCGCATTGCTGGCCTTCGCTTGGAAACACACTGGAGCTAGACTAGGCGAAGACTGGGTCTTCCTGGCTTTGCTCGGTGTCATCATGGCATTGATCAGTTACGCGATGGACCGTGGAATTTCCATGTGCAACAACGGTCAGTCTTTATAATCATTTGGTAGGACTCAAAAGTTACAATTTTTACGCGGACAAACATGTTAAAAATGTATAATAGAAACTTTTCGTCAATTGAAATTAAATTCGAATTTACTACTGTTTTTAATTACTACGAGACTTGAATAACAAATAAGCAAAGATTTGAGTTATTTTCGCAATCCCACTTACACCGGATACGCGAGTCATGAAATTAGTGCTTCGTTCAATTTTACAATGACACTCGGACGATATTTGAGATAACTATTAGAGATATTCCGAGAACTGATTTCCTTTATAAGTTAATACTTATTTGCTTCTCTAGAGAGGTATGTACTTATTTCCAAGTTTACTTTCCAGTTTATTTGGAAGCTTAAATATAGAGTTTTCAATTGTTCTCCTTAAGATTTTTCTGCATTAGAATTTCAATTTATTATAATTTTTTATTTTATCAAATTAATTAATTGCAATTGTACATTACAAATAATTATTGAATGTTCAAATAGGCGTTATGCAATTTTAAAAGAAATACTAAGCACATGCAAAGAAATTATTGCTCTTATTGTACTGTAAATTGTCACGATTTACATCATGCACCCAATAATATTAAACATATTCCTACTGAAAATGTAGTCACTATCTGCGTATACATTAACAATAATAATCAGGATCATGTTTCAATACTTGTTAACGACAGAGAGCTCGAATAAAATCACATACATAGATGAAAATTATTTCAATACATCAATTAAATAGTTACTACCTCAGGAAGAACTAAAAGAGGAGTAAATAGTGACTAAAAGACTTGTAAAACTTAAAAAAGAATAGTGAGTGTAAAACTTGAATTAATATGTGAATTATTCCAAAAGTTAAAGACTCATTAATGGACTGCAAAATTAGAGAGTACTATGAAAGGTTTAATTGGATATTGAAAGTTTTAACTGAGAATTAATTTTTTGACTCGGGTAGAGTCAAGGGACACTTTGTCAATCATACACAATAACATTCCCTAATTTAAACTTCTATAACTCCTGGAATATGGAGTTATGATGAATAGTTATGAAAATACGATAGAAATATTTTACTAACTTTATCCCACAAAATTGTTAAATAAGATTATTTTGAATAAAATGTAATCACTATTCTTCAAAATTATATTTCTTTATGAAATAATGATGTATTGAAGAAATACAGGTATTTAAAAATTATTTTATTAGAAGAAATAATTTATAGATAATCGTTTTTCTTAACTGCATATGAAGTATTTCATGAACTGAAGTTATTTTCTCGAAAACTATTAGTAATATTGATAAGTTTTTGTTTAGGATTATAAGGTATGATAGGCCCTTTCATGTAATGTATGGGGTACTGCTGCATGACCCCCCAGGGGGGCAAGAGGGCACAGCGATCCATATCTTTAAATGGAATTTAAAGCACTTTTCATAACAAATAATTTTTATTTGAACAATTTTTTCATATTCTACATAGGTCAATGCGGGGTTCAAATACATTAAAATCAGTCGTTTTTGTTATTTTATTAGGGGGATCACTAATGTGAACGCCTGAAAAAAGGCGATATTCGAAATTTCTACAAAAAAAGGGTAATATATCAAATATTTTGAAACTTTAAGGATGTATTTATACAGAATTAAATAATCTGCAATAATGTTCTTGTTTGATAATAATTGATTTTGAGCAAGTTAGGTGAAATCTTTCAGACGTTCAAAAAAAAAAAAGTCCCACTGCTGCAGTAATTCAGAAAAAAAGTGCAGTAAAAAAAGAAAAAATTTCCATTAAATTAGAAGACACTTTCCGTACTATGAAGCACGACGTTGAACACAAATTGAAATCTAAAAAAATGGCTGAGTTTTAAAAACAAAAGTTAAAATTACGTCTGAAAATATGGTGATCCAATCAAGAAAACCGAAGCTCATAGTATGACGAAATATGTACTGAACATACTCGAAAAAATTCAAGTCGATCAAACAATTCGTATTAGAATTAGGGCTGCAGCAAATGTGAAAAATGTTGTTTCGAGTAAAACGCTTTTAAACACATTTATGACTATACTGCGGATTTTTATGCATTTATAGGGAGAAGATTTGAGAAGAAGATATTTGAGAAGAATATAAATCAAGAATCAAGAATATAATGAAGAATATAAAAAATATTGAGAATAAAATTCATATTATAATATTTGCAGAGTAAAATAAATTCCTATTCAGGTTCAATTTTTGTAGGTACGTTTCCCAAGATTTTATTTTGCATAAAGATCCGCAGTCTATTTATGACCTACTGAGCAAGTGCTATTTAGAAGACAACCGTTCAAAAACTACTTCGGATCCAACCTTGACATGATAGTATACCATGCTAGAGACTATAAACTGTCAAATAATGCAAACAAAAAATCGATTTATTATATAGTCCCCCTTAAATGTTCAAAATGACACCCGTTGACTTCTAAACATTTATTAATTTGTTTAATAAAATTCATACGAGCAGCTGATAACACAGTTTCACTAATTGATGTACAAGCGACACGAATTCTGATGTTTATATCTTCTTTCGATGTAGTAGCAGTGGCCATTACTTGATTCTTCACGAATCCCCATGAAAAAAATCCAGTGGTATTAGATCTAGTGACCTAGGAGGTCAAGATACTAACCCATTGTGCCCTATCCAAATGTTTCCAAATTGTTCATTTAACAAATGTCATGTACATACTCCTAGCAAAGTGTGTTGTGGCTCCATCATGTCAAATATACATTTTATTTCTAATACTCAACGGAACATATTCCAAAGGCGCTGGAAGATTATGTGACAGACATTCAACATAAGTAGCGCTTGATAAATGTTATTGAAAAAATGTGGTCCAATGACGTCATTTCCAATCATTCCGCATTGTACATTTAATGACCATTGGTGTGGTGTGATGAACAGTACAGGGACTGAATCGTGTAGCAGGAATACAGCACGCGCCGTGAACAAAGCCTCGCACCTTATTAATTTAATCAAATAATAACTCAAATAATAAAGTTATTATGTTGTTGGATCGTTACACAGGCTAGGTTTGGTTACTGAAACAGTGAAGGTTTTAAAATTTAATCAACAACATTCTGATACCAGATTCGTAATTTTCGGCCCAAATAACAATAAAATACCAAATTTCATGAAGATCCGAAAACTTCTAATTTTGGCCGCGATTTTGGCATTTTGGACCACTATGCGTCGGTTCGTGGTAGAGCGTGGTCAATCTCCAATCACTCACGGCACGATTAGACGGAAAGGATTCGGAAGAGTCTATGGTTTACTCTAGAGCGTGGGCAATTCCCAAGTGCTGTTGATATCGGTACCAGGATCAGACTCTCCTACTGAAGCCACATCGGGGTCCTTATGTGCGTTATCTCTCGTTTTCTCTTGCGAGCGTCGTCACCCTGCGGTCACCACCTACCGGTCGGAGCGCGTACTCACCTCGGTAATCGTTCGTAACGAACGTTTCGTTACAAGTTGATCGAAAGGGAACCGAAGCCCGATCTCACTAATGAGCAACTCCGATTTCCATATTCGGAAATTTCACGGTTAGGATTTTCGTTGCTCCGAGGTGAGCAGCTGCGGTACCCTAAGCAAGGGTAGATAAGATGTTTCTCCATGCGACGCGAGTTAAGGACGATTTCAAGAAGAGCACCCCCGCATGTTGTTGATTCCTCTCGTGGAAATGCTCCAAAATTTTCGCTATCGATGCAGCTGCACTTTAGAGAGATCTGACTCTACATTCCGGAGGGTAGATAACGGTTAATGAACGCGAGCTTCGAAAAAACAGAAAAATGTTCTATATATGTAACAGGTTTCTAATATTCTATAATACCGTAGTAAGAAATTAAAAAAAATTATTTCTAATGATCTGAACCCTATCACCATAAATATTGTTGCCACCTACTATATAAAAATTGTGCTCGAAATTTTGTGGACGATTTCATGCTGAATAGTGATGCGCACGAGTCGATCTCGTCTCGATTTCGAGATGGGATTCGAAATCGAGATTACTTGTAACATTCGAGATCGATATCAAGATCTGGACGAGATCAAAAGTATTTCAAATTCTCATCGAGATCTCGACAAAATGTTTATTATATTGCGTATCGGCAATACACATGACGTCGTGACTGCTGTGCTAACAAACGATGCCACATGAAACAAGCTGGTCGAGATAAATTACTTAAACATTGTCATAAATCTAACAAGGGGAGGGCGCGGGCTTGGGGTCACCGATATGAATTAACATTTAATACAGTATAGTACTCTACTAGGAGAGTATTTGAGCAAAGCGGCAAGGCGCACTACTCAGGCGTTTTCGAGAAAAAAATAATTTAAAAAGTATGACGCCGCTCTGTTGCTTATATTCGGTTCCAGTAGAACGGTTTACAAGATGCCAGCGTAATCGAGGCAGCTACGGCCGCGAATACCACGCTTTGAGCTTGAGTTTGATTCTCGTTTGGTTTGAATTCCTTTTTCAATTTTTTTTTATTTTTTATTTATTTATTTAACATGACCACAAATATTTATTCCTGTAAAATTAAATAAATTTTACCGATATGTAAGATAATTAAATAAAAGCAAATACAAATCGCCGCGTATGAAATACAATGTTCTTTTATTTCGGAAAGCTCTGCACGTATCGAAGGCTAGCAAAGAAGTGACTTTCCCGGGCTGGGAAAGTCTCTGCGTAGCCTCGTCAATGAAGGTTTTTGAAGGGCCTCCGACGTTGTTTATGACCGGGCCTGGCATCGCAGCGTCACGCCTGTCGTCCATGCACGCCTGGCCCATGTTTTCGTCACCTCGGCATGGGGCGGCTGTCAATGTATCCAACTATTTCTTACATTCGGCCAACCTGCATTTCCGCTTGTCCTCAAGTGATGTACTCCTCGTCTCCTGGCTAGCCTTTGTCTACATCGTTTTCTGTAACACAAAAAATCAAAGACTGACCTGAGTATCTAGTCGGTTTAT